GGATACAGGATGACTGGAGCGTTGTCGTTCTGATCCAGAATGAACACGTTCACTGTGACGTTGCTGCTCAGTGACGGAGTTCCAGAATCTGACGCAACAACGTGGAACTTGAAAGTTTTCACTGTTTCAAAGTCAAAACATTTTAAGGATGTAATATGACCGTTATCAGAATTTATGTTGAGGAAAGCCATTATGTCATTTTTATTCCCTTCTCTGACAATATGATATGAAATAGCTGCATTGTCATTCAAATCATTATCTGTTGCCCTCACAGAGAAAATCGAATTTCCAGCAACATTATTTTCTGACAGATAAAACTCTAACGTTCCTTCTTCAAAATGTGGACTGTTGTCATTTACATCTGAAATCCGAATGTTGAGAGTTTTAAAAGTAGATAAGGGAGGTTCACCGCAGTCAGTGGCTTTTATTGTTATCTCATAATGTGACACCTGCTCTCGATCTAAATAATCATTTGTAATAACTGAATAGGTATTCTCCTTATATGAGGCCTTTAATTCAAACGGCACGTCATTAGTTATTTGTGAAATTATTTTTCTGTTAACCCCTGAGTCTTTGTCCCGCACACTAAGAAGTGAAACAGCTGTTCCAGGTTTTGAGTCTTCTGACACTGTATCTGACAGTGACGTTATTTCTATTTCCGGTGGATTGTCGTTGACGTCTTTAATTTTGATAATGACTCTACACTCACCTGTCAGTGGAGGTGTTCCTTTATCGGATGCCTCCACATCCAGTTCATAAACATCGTTTTCTTCAAAGTCTACTACTCCTTTTATTTTTATTTCTCCACTTAATTTGTCCAATTCAAAAATTTCATAGACCTTCCGCAACAAGGTTTTTCCAAGCGTGTACTCAATTTCCCCATTAGAGCCTTCATCGCGATCTGTTGCATTCATTCTAAACACTAACGTGCCAAGAGGAACATTTTCTTGAATTAAAATTTCGTACAGTTCCTGACTGAATACAGGGCGATTGTCATTACTGTCGAGAACAATAATGGAAACATTTAATGTGCCTGATCTCGGAGGTTTACCTCCGTCGACTGCAGTCACCAGCAGAGTGTGTGTGTTCTTTTGTTCTCTGTCCAACGATTTCTTAAGCACTAAAAATGGTATCTTACCCGCATCGCTTTGACGGATATTTATTTCAAAATGTTCATTTGCCGTTAAAGTGTACGTACGAATTGAGTTAACTCCAGCATCAGGGTCACGAGCAGTGTGGAGCTGAAATCGCTTTCCTGGCAGCGTATGTTCCGCTATTTCAAATGTCTGATTCTTTTCGGGAAAACTGGGAGAATGATCATTCACATCAGTAATTTCCACAACAGCGTAGTGTATTTCCAAAGGGTTTTCCACGAGGATTTTCAGCTCCATAAGGCAGGCGCCACTGCCCTGACAGAGCTCCTCTCTGTCAATGTGATTATTGACGAACAGTGCCCCATTATTCTGGTTTACTTCAAAAATAGCGTCTTCACTTCCAGACACAACGCGGAACCGTCGATCAATCAAAGAGGCGATGTCCAGGCCAAGATCCTTCGCAACGTTCCCAACGACAGTTCCGTCTCTTACCTCCTCTGGGACAGAGTATCTTATTTGAGCAAAAGCCTGTCCTCCGAAAAACAGCAGTAGAATCACATAAAAAGCCATCGTGGAGCGGTTCCTCGTTGTAGTATGTGTATCCGTTCCCATCGTTATATTACAAAATACATACACGCACGAGCTTCTTAATGCGACCAACAATTGTTTATATTAATCCCGAATTGATGTCCAGGCCAAGATCCTTCGCAACGTTCCCAACGACAGTTCCGTCTCTTACCTCCTCTGGGACAGAGTATCTTATTTGAGCAAAAGCCTGTCCTCCGAAAAACAGCAGTAGAATCACATAAAAAGCCATCGTGGAGCGGTTCCTCGTTGTAGTATGTGTATCCGTTCCCATCGTTATATTACAAAATACATACACGCACGAGCTTCTTAATGCGACCAACAATTGTTTATATTAATCCCGTGAGTGTCGCATATTTGCACAACGCAGACGTGATTTCATCGGTTGCCTGGCTCGATTCAAATGCTTCCCTTGCTTTAGTAAAATGGCAAACAAAAGGTTTGTAAGGGGTGGGATGAAAACGTTTATGGTTTCCTGATTTAATAGTGACACCCAGAGGTTGTTACTGAGAACTATTCTCTTTATCGTCGTATTAAATGCTCTTATTGACGTGAGAACAAACTCAGGTCTTGGGAAACTAATAGAAATTCGTCTCGCTGCTCATCTTGATTTTAATGATTATTAAAATAATACTTTCCATTTTGTTGTATAACATAGCTTTACTGGTTTGGCCTTTTTCTGCCTGTCAGCACCATGGACAGCAATCGTGAACTGTTGTATGTCTGTCCTTGTAATGACAAAAGTAGATACAACTAAAAGACACCATGACCTGATGACTGTGAATCCTCAAAGATTTGCAACAACTAAAATAACAACACTCAGTCATGCTGCTTTAACATTCCACACATACTGCTCCATCCACCAGCTTTCACCTCAGAAATAGGTTAGAAGTTAGAATGCACTGAAACCCAGCTCTCAAAAACTCCCTGCCCACATTTTCACAAGTAAACACAATTTACTCTGGTTTGCTGAACAGTTCATTCTTTTCAGCACCACAGACAGCAGCCATGATCAGATTCTGCCCATACAAACTGACCACTCCACAGACATTTAGCTTTTTGTGTTTAAATTACATTTCTCATGAGTGTGCATGAACATGACAGTGCAGATTTTTGTTATAGACAGAGCTGTCTATTCACATCAAGTGTTTTGCTATTTATAACCATCAGCAGTGAGACAATAAGAGATGGAAGAAACTCAAAGAACTTATTTGAATATATACAAAACAACTTTGACCACAATAAAAGCAAAAAACGATACACTTGAAAACACATGATTTCTTTGTGTCTTACCTCTCCAGATGCCCCTCTCCTGTCAGGCAGCACTAGTGTATTGGCATGGCTTCCTGGGACTATAGTAGATCCTATACTCATCCTGGGTCCAACTAACATGTAGCGTTTGTCTCCAGATCTGTACTGGATGCT